CCCGTTGATGGACCAGCAGCCCTGCGCTGCCGGCAAAAGCTTTGCCGCACTCGGCGCAGGCGAAGGGGCGCTCGCCCGTGTGCCCTCGCCGGTGCGTGGCCAGCGCCGCCCGGTCGCAGAAGCCACGGCCGCACTCGGCACAAGAGAAGGGGCGCTCGGCTCCGTGCAGCGCCTGGTGCCGTGTCAACGTGGCACTTGCCCCAAACCGCTTCCCACACGCCCCGCACTGGAAGGGACGGGCACCCGCTGCCGTGGCCTCACCGGTGGCCTCACTGTCGTGCCGGCTCGGCTTGGCGGTATCCTCCTCGTGCTGTTTCTGTGGGGCTGATTTGGTGCTGCTGGCATCCGCCGTGTCCTGGCATTGTGTCCCCAAATTGGCGCTGCTGGTGGCTGCCTCGTCCTGGCACCCCGGCGTTGGTTTGGAGCTGCCGGTGTCTGCCCAGTCCCGGTACTGTGTCCCCAAATCGGCACTGCTGGCGTCTGCCCAGTCCTGGCACGCCGGCATCGGTTTGGCACTGTGAGCACCCTCTTCATCCTGGCATCGCCACCCCGAATCGGCACTGCCAGTATCAGCCCTGGCCCAACACCGCAGCATCTTTTTGGCACTGCCAGTGCTTGCCCTGTCCTGGCTGCCTGGCGTCAGTTTGGCACTGGTGACATCTGCCACTGCCAGGTGTCGGCACGGTGGCCTCGAATCGGTGCTGCCGGTGTCCTCACTGTCCTGACACGCTGGCATCGATTTGGTGCTGCCGGCATCTGCCCCAGCCTGGCATTGTGGCCCCAAATCGGCGCTGCTGGTGTCCATCCCGTCCTGGCACCCATCTGCCCCACCTGGCATTGTGGCCCCAACGTCGGTGCTGCTGGTGTCCATCCCGTCCTGGCACCCTGGTGTGATTTCGGTGCTGCCGGTGTCCTGCTGGGTCCCGTCTGCAGCGCAAGGAGAGAGGGGGTGAGCAGGCAGCACCCAAGGGGGTCACCCTGGGGCGGTGGTGTCCCCCCGAGCACCAGGGACGCCGGGACACCGGTGACGGGTGCTGGGCCCAGCTGACACCAGGGTCCCTGGTGATGGGGACAGATCCCCGGGGGCAGCCCGGTGCCGATGGGTCCCACTCCCCGGTGCCTTTCCCAGTCCCAGTCTGGTCCCCCGGTAACCGGCTTTCTGGCTCCCTGGCTCCCCGTGCCAGGCCGGTACACCCATCCCCCTGCCGGTAACCGGGCCCCGCAGCCCCCTCCGGTATTGGCCCCCCCTGCTCTGCT